TTAGTTGCATTCCCAAGTGAGGAAAGCTCCATAAGACTTGAGCAATTACTTAGCTTTAATTCCTGGAGATTGGTCAAATTCTCAATAGAAGAAGGGATTTTCACCAGCTTTGAGCAATAAGAGAGATTTAGTGTCTCGAGATTGGTCAAATTCTCAATAGAAGAAGGGATTTTCACCAGCTTTGAACACTTAAAGAGATTTAGTTCCCGGAGATTGGTTGCATTCCCAATAGGAGAAGGAAGCTCCACTAAACTTGAGCATCCTTGGAGATTTAACTCTTCAAGATTAGTGGCAGTTGAAAGATCAGGAAGTGCTTTCAAATCTTTAGAATAAGACAAATCCATCCACCTAAGATTTTTAAATTGCTGCATTGACACACACAATAAGAAAATGTTGACATGATTGCCTTATAAAATTGTAGTTTGTTAACTATACTAAGACATTTGTACGGAAACGAACCATAGATATTAAAAAATGGTTTTGAAAATTGAATTTTTAAAATCAAAATTACTTACTTTGGTTCTTTCCCAAAGCTTCTCAAGCTCTAGAAGACTTGAGCAATAAGAGAGATCTAGTTCCTCAAGTTTAGTTGCATTCCCAAGTGAGGAAAGCTCCATAAGACTTGAGCAATTACTTAGCTTTAATTCCTGGAGATTGGTCAAATTCTCAATAGAAGAAGGGAATTTCACCAGCTTTGAGCAATAAGAGAGATTTAGTGTCTCGAGATTGGTCAAATTCTCAATAGAAGAAGGGATTTTCACTAGCTTTGAACACTTATAGAGATTTAGTTCCCGGAGATTGGTTGCATTCCCAATAGAAGAAGGAAGCTCCACTAAACTTGAGCATCCTTGGAGATTTAACTCTTCAAGATTAGTGGCAGTTGAAAGATCGGGAAGCTCTTTTAGATCTTCAGAATCAGACAAATTCATCCACCTGAGATTTTTAAGTTGCTGCATTGACACAATAAGAAAATATTGACATGATTGGCTTTATAAAGTTGGAGTTTGTTAAACAAATTCTAGAAATATTAGTAAAGGTTTTGAAAAATAATTTTTTTAAAAAATTAAAAATTACTTACTTTAGTTCCTTCCCATAGTTTTTGAAGCTTGCTGGAACTCATACATAGTTCGACGAGAAACTCGGGATTAAAAGTTGATGGCAAACATGTATTCTGGAAATAAATCCAATCTACTAATCTAATATTTTGAGGATAATGAAGCAGTGAATGCAGTCTCTCAGCATGAGCAAGGTCCACACCATTGATTCTTACAAATTGGAGATCTAACATTCTTTCTAGTGCTTTTTCCCTTATGCTCAGCTCTTCCTCAGTATTAGATAAATCTAAATTTATGCCTATAAAACGCCTATTATCCTGGAAAAAAAGAAGCAGTTATGGTTCGTTGTAAAATAAACTCAGTCGTAATGTTGCAACAGCATAATATTGCAACATCATAACTTACTCTTGTATCATTGCTAAGCTCTTCACATATATCTCTTGCATCGACTAAAAGATAATGTTCCCTAAGGCCATGCTGAACAAATTGCTTACGTGAAGTTTCTATTCCAAATTGATGTAGCAAACGATGCATCTGTATCATTCCGTATTCAATATATATGAGAGATCTTTCAGCCAAAACATCAAGACCGTGCCTCACATCCGAGAACTTCTTTCCAAGAAACGCTTCAACTTTATGTTGATATACGCCGTTGAAAAAGCAAGATATATAAAGAAATAAATATTTATATTCATCATTATCTAAGGCAGCATAACTGAACATTATAATGTTCTTTATTTCTCCATTAAGGTTGGTCTTTAACATTGGTAGTGTCCTCTCCCACTCTGCCTTGGACCTTCCTTTCAAAGTGGAGCCTAGAATCTTCAAACCCAAAGGGAGTTCACCAGCAAGGCATGTAACTTTCCTAGCAAGCTCATCGAAGCCATTATCTGGGTGCTTGTGTCCAAAGGCATGCATACAAAAGATTTGAAAAGTCTCATTACTTGTTGGAAAATTCACTGCGTAAAAATGATTGATCTTAAGAGCTTTAAGAACTCTTAGATCTTCTGTTATGATTATAATCCGACTTCCAGGACCAAACCATCGGGTTTCCTTCGCCAAGGCATACACTTGTCCTAACTGATCTACTTCATCAAGAACGAGACACACTTTCTTTTCTTTCAACCATTCTTGGGCCATTCCTAAATGAGAAATCTTGATATCTTTCTGATTCATCATTTGAGACAACATTTGGTTTTGAAGTTGCAACTGCGCACTATACTCATATGAACAAGATCTTGGATAGGGATAGCTTCTTCTAATATCAACCATGATTGCACTAAGTTGGAATCTGGTGGAGAATCGGTCTAACATAAATCTAGCGATGGTTGTCTTACCTATACCAGGCGGACCCCAAATCCCGATTATCTTTACCTCATCCAAATCTAGGCTTAACAATTGCTCTATCCTTTCCATATGAGCTTCCATCCCAACTAAACCATCAAAATCTCTTGACGGTGTCGAGTTATTCAACATGTTTGAAATATCAGTGGCTAATTTTTCGATCATGGCCGCTTCATTGACCCTAACATTGGAGGATATTAACATAATTAAATTAATCAATAGTCTAGTCATGAAAAATTCGCATACATACAGATCCTAAAGATATGTAGTTTCTGTGTTTTAATCTTTTTAAAGGCTACAAATTAACATAGTTTGAACTTTGAACTCTAACTCTTAAGGAGAGTATAAATCAAGAGGACATACCTTTGGTCAAAATGATATCCGGCGATTGTGGCCACATCTTCCAACGCTTTTCTCCATATCCCAGTGCGCTCTTTTGTTTTACCTTTACAAGTTTTTCTGAAGGCTTTTCCAAAATCTTCCGTCTGTTTCTTTACTTCAGTTGGTTCCACTTTATAGAAAATAGTCATGACTATTTTACCCAACTCTTCCCTGTATTTCATGATCTCTGCCAACTCATCAAGACACCACGAAGAAGAAGCATAGTTCTTGGAAAGTAACACGATCGCAATCTTTGATCCTTTAATAGCTTCTTTGAGCTCAGGACCGATCGACTTGCTCCTCGGTATATCATTATCAATGAATGTGTCGATTCCCTTTCTCTTGAATGATTCCAGGATGTGACTAAGAAAGTTGCTTCGGACGTCTGCCCCGTGGAAGCTTGGGAAGACATGGTATTTCCAGTTTCGAGACACAGAAGACGATATAATATCTTTGCTGTCTTGTTGGAATCTGAATTTTGTATAAACACCCGCTGCAACTGAGTCAAAGAGAAAATAAAAATAAAAAGAATTCATTAGTATGATAAAAACAGAATCAAGATTAGTTGATAGATATATGAAAAGGTTAACAGACCGTTGGCACAGAAACTCAAAGGACGTTTCCAAGAAAATTCATCATCGTTAGTTGAGCATATCTTTTGTCTTTTAACAGATTCGGTTTCCACGTCGTCCTGACTCGTAGCTTTCCTCTTGTTACAGCTCAAACTCATTACAGAACCCATTGATGGAATCAAGAAGTTTCACACTGCAGCGATCATAAGTTCCCACAATTAGGTGAAAATTTTGAATAAAACAAAGAAACCTTAAAGTTAAAAATCAAGAACACATAATCAAGAACTGGTCTCAAAACACTAATCGAAAACAAAGAAACCATCATCAAGACCCAGTCCAGTCACTTCGATTACAGAGTGATTAAACCTTAAGTAAAACTTAAGAAAAAAACAGAAAAAAAAAACAGTAAAACGTTGGAGTTTAGTTGAGACAGAGAAGAGTAAGAAAATCTCACCGATGCAATAAAAAAGACAGAGAAATCTCCAAGAGGTTGTTGAAAGAATTGCTGTGTGAATGAGAGGATTCGTTGACGACACTTTTTGCAGAGAAGAAACTCAGTGGATGTTTCCTTGAAAATACAGTGAGAGATTTTGTGGAAAATGTATGCTAACGATGACACCTACTACTACTACTAATTCCACTAATCATTTTCTAATGCAAGTTGACATTGTGATTGTTAAGTATTAGTGAACAAAGAACAAGACAAAAGAAAGAAACTTGAAGATCAAGTAGTGCCAGCTCAGCATGATGACTCATGGTGTTTATATAGCTGTTTTGTTTGGCCTGTAAAAGCAAAAGCAAAGCGTACGTCTGTCTTCTTATGCACCTGCAATTGAAGGCAAGAAAAAGCTTGACTGTGAAAAACGCCAAGGAAGAGGCTGCTTCGCAGAAGGTCACCAAGGAGTCTAGGTTAAAGAGCTAGCATCTATTTAAGGGCAGTGTATGTGTGAGAGAGAGAACAAGGTGAAAAAGAAGTGAGAACAAAAACAGAGAGTAAACTTGTGTTTTGTGTTCTTGGGGAAACATAGAGTGCTTGTGAGAGATTGAATCTAGAGAGCTTTGTAAGGGGCTTTAAGGGTGAGAGATCTCTTTGTAAACTCTGCGAATAGTGGATTCCGGGAGACAAATCCCGGCCCAGAGGTAGCGTCGGTTTGACGTGAACTGGGTTAACAATCTCTTGTGTGCTCTGTTTTTGTTTGTTGTTGCTTTGGTCTATTGGTGTTGTTTGTGGTGTTGGTTGAAGTTTCATTTCAGGTATTCAAGCTCAGTTGTCTACAAAGGTCCTTGGTTTGTGTTCATTCAAGCTAAAGCTGGAAGCTTTAGCCTCTGTTTGCTTCACAGTGATTATTAATTAGTCATCGAGTGTCTTTAAATTAATAATCTTTGATGTTTATTATTTGACTGTGGTATTCTTTTTGGGAGATTTTGGAATATTTTTCATTGAATTTTCAGGTTAAGGTTTGTTCAAAGGTTTTTAAGAACGAAATGATAGTCACAATGGAACCGAATGTAGACCATATATATATAAGTCGAACATAACCAAAATTCATCAATGCAAATTCCAAAACCTAATTTTATTATAATTCAATATAAGAATTTTATATATCGAAATTATTTTAACAATAAAAAGATGTCAAAAGATGTCAAAAGTTTCAAGCTTCACATCATTTCTCTCATACTCTTACATTATTAAGTTATAAATCTCAATAATAGTGACAACATAATAAGTGGGACTCTGAACTTGGAGTATCATCAACTTTCCACGGTTATACTGTCGAGCAAAGACAAAATACTTGTAAGTTGTTTTGAATGTTCTTAGTTATGAATTATACTTGTACTTTCTTTCAGGGCTCGCAGTTTCATCACCTAGGTGCAAGGTCTGTCTTATCTCTAGTAACCTCAACGTCTCATCTACTTTTTCCCACTGCCTTTAAAGAAAACAATTCTGGTTTCTTGCTTCTTAGGTCTCTTATGAATCACTCTTGACGTTTCTGTTTATCAAGAACTCGCGAGTTCTCTAATACAGATCTTTACTCTAAATCAATTTCATCAAATGTTGTACTTTGGCTCTTCCCTCTTTTGATTAGCATTCATATATATTTTTTAAAATGTATAGTTTGTTTATGTTTTGGGCTACGATATTTGAACTTACATCATTTGTTTGTTTCAGGTTCTTATGTTGCTTTGTTTATAGAACAGTAATAATAAACTTGGCACAAGATGTATGTTTTCTAGAGGCAGAACGTATACAAATTAACAAAGGTGTATGACATTAGGTAGCCATTTAACTAAACTTTATACAATACATTATTCAGCTTTTACTAAGAAAATCAGTAAAAAATTCAGCATTTAGCAGCACCTTCTGGACGGACTTATCTAACACGCGTGAATATTTTCAACGACATAACAAATTGCAGAATCAACAACTTGAAACAAGCTAAGTGTTATATTGCTTTGCATTACCTGGTCCATATTCTATGCTAGGCTATAATGATCAGTAGACTTAGGCTATTCTTTACCAATACAGAATAATAATACACTTTCTGGTTCCCTTTCGTTGGCTTGTCTTTCCAATACAGAATCATAATAATACCTGTATAAGAAACAAGTAGACCAATTGAGAGATCAAGATTCAAGTTTCCATGTGAGCTTTGTCCTAGCATTTACAAAACTTAAAAGAAGTAAAGATACAGTTTCCAAAAAAAGAAGTAAAGATACAAGATGCTGTTTTCAACAGAAGTAACTGGCTGAACAGCCTGATTAGTGACTACAAGAGCTAATTAAGCCACTGCACCTTCCCGATAGAGAGCTCGAATAGATGAATGGACAGACTCATTAAGAGAAGTGCGAACTAAGCACTGAATCTACCGACCGAGCTATACATTGTTTTGCTTAAACAACCTTCTTTTATATATGGAGGGTTCAGCTACCTACAGTGACTTATTGACTTATTTAGCTAACCAGAGGAGTAACTGTCTTACAACCATTCAAAAACAGATATAATAGTAACCTTCTCAAAACAATGAACTCCACCCTAATCGTGTTTGTTGTACATTAGCCTAACCTAAAAATTTAATGAAAGAGGTTCTAAGATCTCCAAAAAGTCCAGCAAACAACAACAACAAACACCAACTATTAACTTCAACTCTCCAGAGACTTAAGCACATGTCAACTTACAAATCCTTTTCCAAGATACTAATCTAATTAACAACATAATTTCTGTAGAATGTTGAATAATTATTGTCTCTTCTATCGTTGTTCTGCTCATCTGCCTGACTTGGTCTGTTTAATGATGTTCTCTCTCAATCCCACGACCTTTCGCAGCACTTTTCATATCAGAAACAAGAATTTAAAAGTCTCAATAGCTCTTGACGATTCCTCCTTCTTCTTCTTCTGAACTCTAATTTTGTTGTTCTTTATCTGCAGTTAGTTTCAATTAAACATAGCATTACACAATCTTATATATATTTAAAAGCTTTTTATTGAAGAAGAAAATGGCATAAAAATTTCTAACCCTCCTTCATCGATTCCCATCTCTGATCGAAGCTCTCATCATCTTCGTTATTAACACTAAGGAGCCTCCAAGATTTGATATACCCCGCATTCTCCGATCTTCCAGTTGTCATATGTTTTGGTTGTGAACTCAAAGACAAGCTCGGTGGAAGTCACCTCCTTTGCTTCAACTTCAAATGTGTAGATATGCTCTTTTAAAGCATGAATACGATGATCTGTACACAGAACTTTAAGATCATTCTGTTTAATATATACCAACATCCAATGATAAGGACGAAGACCCCTTTCTTCATGAGTATTAACCAGCATGATGCAAGCCTTAAATCTCAAAGATTTAGGAAGAGGCGACTCATTCAACTTGATTGTCAAGGAACCTCCAACAGTAGATCGGTGATTGAAGCAGGCAGGCACTTGTATACCTGGTAACACCGCATATTGACAAGTCGATGTGTGCATGATGAGATCTCTGGCTTCTTGATTCAGTTTGAAGCAGTTCCTGAAACTCAGATGGATCTCTGGATGTTTAAAGGAACAATCCAGTCTCTCAAGGGATTGACAATTGTCTGCATCTATGTTCCATAAAGAATCTGAAAATTGGGGGAGGGATACCAGATTCTTGCAGTTGTCGAGTCTAAGTGTATGTAAACGAGACATTCCCTTGACACATGGAGCAACTTCTTGTATATCTTCGTTCAACTGCAGATCTGTGATGATGTCAAGAGCATGCGGGAATTCCTTGAGGCTTTCAAAGTATGACATACTGAAATCATAAGGACGAGACCACGACATGATCGACAAAGGAACTTCTTTTATTGATGTTCCTGCGAGCAACAGATACTCAATGTTTGTGGAGATCTCAGGAAAACTTTTCAACTGCGAGCAATCTGTGAGATCAAGAAAACCGAGAGATTTCAAGTTGATGTTGGTTGGAAGAGCCTCTACCTTTGAGCATCCGCACATTATCAACAAAGACAAACGTTGAAGGTTCCCTATAGAGGAAGGAAGCTCCACCAGATTTGAGCAGTTAGATAGATCCAAATCTTGGAGATCAATGAGATCTCCGATAGAGGAAGGAAGCTCCACCAGATTTGAGCAGTTTGATAGATCCAAATGTTGGAGATTAGTTAAATTTCCAATAGAGGACGGGAGATCCACAAGACTTGAGCAGCCACTGATATTCAATTCCGTCAGATTTGTGGCAGTTCCAATAGAAGGAGGGAGCTTTAGTAGACTTGACCAATCACTAAGATTCAGAAAATAGAGATTAGTCCCATTCTCGATCGCGGAGAGCTCCACGACAGAAGAACAATTTTTTAGATGCAATTGCTTGAGATTAGTGGCATTGATAGAAGACGGGAGTTTCACAAGTCTTGAGCAATAAGAGAGATCCAATTCCTCAAGTTTAGTTGCATTCCCAAGTGAGGGAATCTCCACAAGATTTGAGCATTCACTGAGTTTTAATTTCTGGAGATTGGTCAAATTCTCAATAGAAGAAGGGATTTTCACCAGCTTTGAGCATTTCGAGAGATTTAGTGTCTTGAGATTGGTTGCATTCCCAATAGAAGAAGGAAGCTCCACTAAACTTGAGCATCCAAAGAGATTTAACTTTTCAAGATTAGTGGCAGTGGAAAGATCCGGAAGCTCTTTCAAATCTTTAGAATAAAACAAATCCATCCACCTGAGATTTTTAAGTTGCTGCATTGACACAATAAGAAAATGTTGACACGATTGGCTTATAAAGTTGGAGTTTGTAAACTAAACTAGAAATTTTAACGTAAATAGAATTCTAGATATATAACCAAAGGTTTTGAAAATTATTTCTCTTTTAATCAAAATACTTACTTTAGTTCCTTCCCATAGCTTCTGAAGTTTGCTGAATCCCATATCTAGTTTTACGAGAAACTTCGGATTAAAAGTAGATGGCAAACATGTATTTTTGAAATAACTCCAATCAAGTAATCTAATCTTTTGAGAATGATACAGAAGTGAGTGCAGTCTCTCAAGCTGAGAAAGATCAAGATCCTCCTTATCACCACTGATTCTTATGATTTCGAGATCAGACATTCTTTCAAGTGCTTTCTCACTTATATTCAATTCTTCCTTAGTCTCAGATAAATCTAAATTAATCCCTATAAAACTTCTATTATCCTGAAAAATAACCAAAAAAAAATATATATTAGATAACAAAGGAGTTATCAAATAAACTAAATTTGTAGGGTAAAAACTCTTACTGTTTTATCACTACCGAGCACTTCACAAATATCTCTTCCAACAACCAAAAGTTGACATTTCAAAAGCTGAGGATGAAGGAATTGCTTACGAGAAGTTTCTATTCCGAATTGCTTAAGTAGAGTATGCATATATATCTCTCCGAATTTGTCAATATATATGAGAGATTTGTCAGTTAAGACTTGAAGACCAGCTTGCGTCACATGCAAAAACTTCTTATGAAGAACGTTTTCCAAGATATAAGGACGTTCGTTGCTGAAAAAGCAGGCTATATAAAGAAATAAATCTTTATCGTCATTACTTAAGTCATCATAACTGAACTTTATAATGCTCTCTATTTCTCCATTAAGGTCGGTCTTTAACCTTGGCAGTATCATTTTCCACTCCTGCTTGGACCTTCCCCGCAGAGCAGAGCCTAGAATCTTCAATCCCAAAGGGAGTTTACCAGCAAGGTATGCAACTTCCTTAGCAAGCTCATAGAATCCTTTATATGGGTGTTTCTGTCCAAAGGCGTGCATACAAAAGATTTGAAAAGCCTCATCACTTGATGGAAACTTCACATGGTAAATATGTTTGATCCCATGACCTTTAAGAACTCTTTGATCTTCAGTTGTGATTATAATCCGACTTCCAGAACCAAACCATTGAATTTCTTTCGCCAATGCATCTAGTTGTCCTAAGTGATCCACATCATCAAGAACGAGAAACACTTTCTTGTCTTTTAACCGTTCTTTTGCCACTCCTACATGGGAAATCGTTATTTCCTTATGATTGATCATCTGGGACAACATTTGCTTTTGAAGTTGCAATTGTGCACTATACTCATTCAAACACGGTCTTGGATAGTTTCCTTTGATATCAACCATGATTGCACTAAGTTGGAATCTGTTAGAGACTTGGTTAAACAGAACTCTGGAGATGGTCGTCTTACCAATCCCAGGCGGTCCCCAAATCCCAATCATCCTTACTTCATCCAAATCTAAGCTTAACAACGGTTCCAAATTTTCCATATGAGCTCCCATCCCTACTAAACCATCAAAATCTCTTGATGGTGTGGAGCTATTCAACATGTTAGAAATATCAGTTGCTATTTTTTCGATCATGGCCGCTTCATTGACCCTAACATGGGAAGATAGTAAGTAAAACTGTCAATAAGTGATACATGATAAATTCTTTTCTTGATATTTTTTTAAGTGGCAAATAAACTCTACAAGGAAATATTAACTAAGGAGATAGAAATCAAGAGGACAAACCAGTTGCGAGAATGATATCCAGCGATTTGGGCCACATCCTCCAAAGCTTTTCTCCATATCTCAGTACGCTCTTTTGTTTTACCTTTACAAGTTTTTCTAAAGGCTTTTCCAAAATCACCAATCTGTTTCTTTATGTCAGTTGGATCAACTTCATAGAAAATGGTCATGACTATGTGACCCGGCACTTCCCTGCATTTCATGATCTCTGCCAACTCATCAAGACACCAAGACGAAGAAGCATAGTTCTTGGAAAGCAAGACGATTGCAATCATTGATCCTTTGATAGCTTCTACAAGCTTAGGACCGATCGACTTACTTTTCTCTATATCGTTATCAATGAATGAGTCGATTCCCTTATTTCTGAATGATTCCAAAATGTGACTAAGAATAGTTTTTCGGACATCTGCCCCGTGGAAGCTGGGGAAGACATGGTGTTCCCAAACTTGAGACACGGAAGTTGAAGGAGATGGAAGAGACAAAGAACTTGGAGGAGATGGAGAAGATGAAGAAGAAGATTTAGTAGTATCTTTGTTGTCTTGTTGGAATCTGCATTTTCTATAAAACGTAAAGAAGCCTACAGTAGCTGCGACAAAGCCAAGGAAAAAAGAAGAATTCATTAGTATGGTACAGAGAGAGGATCAAGGATTCCTAGATAGATGCTTGGAAGAAAGATTTTAACAAAGAGGAAGAGGTTCTCTACGATAGAGATAGAGAGACTCTATTGGATTAGAAACTCCATAGAAAATAAAGTGAGATTTCGTGGAAAATGATTGCTAAGGACAAAACCACTGTCTCCATATGCTCCACCACCATTAACTCTATTGACGACTAAAAAGTATATCAAACTATTATCATCTCAAACAACAACACCTCACGTCCACACATTCTATAATAATGATAGGACGAAAGACATATGTAAAAACATGTTCACTTTAATTAACATCAACAGAGATCTCTTCTTAAGAATTTGTTCAGTTTAACATGGTCAAAAGAGTCAAGCTTCACACCATTTCTCCTACTTTGACATTATAAGATGTCTATATTGAACAGAAGACAATCTATATTGATGGTTTCTATATCTTCTTTGTTTAGTTTGAGATTTTTAATTAATGGTAACCACATTTTAACGTCTATATGGACAAATCCATAAACTAGTGATCTATTGATTCCGTCTTTTAGTTATGAATGTTTTTTTTTTCAGCTTGCTCGTTTTCTTGTCAATGTTTATTTTGTATACCTTTATAATGTGTTTTCTTGGCCAAGTTATATTAGTTGATTATACTGAAGATTTAATTTTTTTTTGTAATGAAATTACGAATATATGTGACATTCTTTAAGAGATTTTAGTCAAAAAGCAGTAAAACTTATGTATTTGATCAAGTTTCAATCTTTTTCTTATGCAGTGTTTTTGAGAAAAGAAAAACTGAAGAAAAACAAATGTGTGAAAAACGAATAATCTAATGTAATTAAAATATACAAAAAAAATTATCGACTTTTATAGCATTCAGTTTGTTATTTGCCTTAAACCTTCTCCAAAATTTGAGTGGGTTTGAAACAAATGTTACAATACAAACACATCCACCTTAACTTGAAAAGTTTAATGAAAATATATTACAAAAAAAAAGAGTTCCAAAGTAAATCAACAACACCAATACTAGATCAGTTCCCTCTTTCTTGTCTATACTTTCAAAAAAATATCCTCTACGCTACATATATATACATCAACCAATCAGTGATCATCAACGACTAAGTAAACCAATCAGTGATGATCACTGTCTTATCTTGCCAAGAAAGATGGTTAATGGGCTTAATTTAATGTTTATTGGTCTTCCTAAAGGCCCATAATTACAACAAGTGCCAGCAAAATCCGGCGACGAACACAACGAAGTTTATCTTCAACCTCAGGCGCCGGAAAACACAAAATCTCCGCAGAAAAACCAAACGACATCAATACGGCTACCACACCGCCACGATGGTTACTTATGCTTGTTCTGTCTACATTTGTAGGGATTCAGATCAGTGTTGTTCATTCTCTCAAGCCTAATTCATGTGATTTGTATGCTTTCTGAAGACAGCTCCTGTATGAAACATGTCTCTGCGTCTGGCTTCTGTCCAATTATGAGCCTGCAATAGAGTACTTGGCAACATCTAGGAAAATGCAAAGGTTCACAGAAGTAGTTAAGAGCTCGACTAAGTAAAAGGTGAGCTTTGTTCTCTTGTGTGACTTGGTTAATATTGTAATCCTGCAATCAGCTAAAGATCATATATATGACATAGTTTGGTTGATTGATCAGAATCTCAGTTTCACAATATACCAAGAATTTTGCTTCTTTTATTTGTTTTAGAATCTTTCATTTTCATAAACTGTGCGTGTGATGCACTTGTTATTGTGTTAGTCTGACAATATTTTTATCTTATAGGTTGTCATATTGACATTCAGGAACTTGCTTCCAAAATGTACATTTGGTGCCCAGATGGTTGATCTTGGACTCCCGCGTGTAATCCACAGTCTACAAACACAAGCGTGGAGTGACGAGGTAAGACGAGTTAGATGCAAAGCCTGAGGACTGCTTTTTATTTAGCTGTCATGTGGAACTTAAATTCTTAATTCTCTACAGTGAGAAAAAATCTTGTTATATAAGTGGTTCCTACAACATTATCTGTTTTTAAGTACATGATCGTAGTTAAATTCTGAAGTTTTAAGGACTTGTTGGATGCATTGAACCAACTAGAAGAAGGGCTAAAAGACAAGATCTAGAAATATAAGTTCTTCTTGGCCATCTTGACTGGTATTTCTGGCGTGAGAGTGTCACAAGCTTTGAGGAGAATGACTTCCAGGTATTCCTTTCTTAAACTTGTCTCGGAATCAACCACCAAACATAACCCTTAAGCACCTGTTAAATATTGTTGGATGCAGATACTAAGGATCCTCCCCACGATCCTGGACTCGTCGAGTGATCCAAGATCACTGGCCGTGGCATGCTTTGATCTCTCACAATCATACTGTACCACGCAGCGGGGAGAGTGATCGTAGCAGACCTCAAGGCGAAAGAACAAGATTATTACACTGATGAACCACCAGAACGCCCTCTTGTGCATCCAGAGGCTTCTTGCAAGCTTGATGGGACTTTGGATGTTTCTTTATACAACACACAGATTGTGTTGTTTTCTTTTTCCTTTTTATGTATTTTATTTATTCTATAAAAATGCTTATTTGTTTACAAACAGAGAATTCTGAGGCAAATTGTTGTATGATCTGAGAGATTGAGTTTAAGTAAAGATGAGATGAATATACCTTTGACGTATCTGCTTGTTATCACTGCAACAACAACAAGACTAAAGCTCCTCTGCTAAAAATTTAGTGTGTTATCCATTATCACAACATAATAATAATTAATTTGAATCTGCTCAAATATTAAAACTAAACACAAGCACTCTCTCAAAATACGGTTTTAGTTTGGACAAGATGCTTCTTACTCTGGTTCCAACAAGATTATGATGGCTCTCTCTGTTCTCTCATTTCAACAGCATTCTACTGTAATATAAGATTATGCAGCTACTTAGCTACACAATGGTGAATAGTATCTGACATATCCTCATGACTTAGATTCTTTCTTCACCTTCTCCTCCTCTTCTCCATCTTCATTTAAACACAACCGGGATATTACACATTGACAATCATACACAAGTTTAGCATAAGTAATGCATAATTTTATAAACTTAAAAGATGAAAATGGCAGAAAATTTTAATACCTCCTCCATTTTGTGAAGCTTTCATCATGTTCATCAAACATTTTGTGATACTCTATGGTATCTCAAGTCCTTCCCAAACTCACATGGCTACAAGTTTAGTGTAGTTTTGCTAAAGTGTGCAAACTCCCAGCACCAATGCAAAAGGTTTCTCAAGGAAGTCAAGCCTCATCGTAATTTTCAGAGACTCTTGCTTTGTAATTCCAATAATCACTATCAATCAATCGTGTATATTAGATAATGTTATGACAATTAAGTTTTCCAAAGTAAACAGCAACAAAAGATTAAAGCTTCATGTCATATAATTTCTCACTATTGACATTATGATGTCTAAAATGTAATAACAGAATTTTCTATTTTATTATGTCCAACAAAGTGAGAATTGTAACTTACATATAGTATTTACAAAGTGAGACTTGTAACTTGAAAATATAATCAAATTTCCACAGTGATATTATCCAGCAAAGACTCACATACATGCATCTTTAAGCAAGTACTCCAGTACCTGTCAAAGAAACAAATAAACCAAGTAAGAGATCAAGATTCAAGTTTCCATGTGAGCTTTGTCCTAACAAAACTGATCAACCAGGAATATAAGCATTTACAAAAATTAAAAGTGTAGTAAGACATGAAGCTGTTTTTAATAGAAATAACTGACCGAACAGCCTGACTAGTGACACTACAAGAGCTAATTAAGCTGATGCACCTTTCCGATAGTTGAACGGACAGACTCATTAAGAGAAGTGCGACATAAGCACTGAATCTACCGACCGAGCTATACTTTGTTTTATATATATGGAGGGTTCAGCTACCTATAGTGACTTTATTGACTTATTTAGCTAACCAGAGGAGCAACTGTCTTAAAACCATTCAAAAACAGATATAGTAGTTACCTTCTCAAAACAATGAGCTCCATAATACAGGTCTGATTCGTGTTTGATTCGTGTTTGTTTAATGAGAGAAATTCTAAGATCTCCAATGGTATTATCATAACATCAAAATTCATCAATGAAAGATATTAATTCAACTCTCCAAAGACTAAGCACATCTCAACTTGCAAAATCCTTGTCCGAGATACTAAACTAATTAACAACAAATGTTGAATAATTACTCTATCTTCTACCTTTGTTTTGTTCATCTGCTTGACTTGGTCTGGTTAATGATGTTATCTCTCAATCCTGCGACGTTTCACAGCACTTAGTGAATCAAAAACACGAATTTGAAAGTCTCAATAGCTCTTGATGATTCTTCCTTCTTCTTCTTCTAGACTCTATTTTCGCTGTTCTTTATCTGCAATTAGATTCTATAAAACATTACACAATCTTGTATAAATCTAAAGCTTAATAAAGACGAAAATGGCATGAATTTTCTAACCTCCCCATTGATTTCCATCTCTGAAGCTCTCATCATCTCTGAACCTCCAAGATTTGATATACCCCGCATTCTCCTATCTTCCATTTATAATCTTTGGTTGTAAACTTAAAGAGAAGCTCGGTTAAAGTCACCTCCTCTGTTTCAACTTCAAATGTGTAGATATGCTCTGTTAAAACTCGATATATGTCATGTTTACACAGAACTTTGAGATCATTCTGTTTGTCCATGATCTTATTATATACATACAACAAATCATGAACCGCTTCTTCATTAATTTTAACCGGCATGATGCAAGCCTTAAATCTCAAAGATTTAGGAAGAGGCGACTCATTTAACTTGATTGTCAATAAACCTCCAGAAGTAGCTCGGTGATTGAAGCAGGCAGGCACTTGTTTACCAGGTAACACCGCATATCTAGAAGTGGATGTGTGCATGATGAGTTCTCTGGCTTCTTGATTCAGTTTGAAGCAGTTGCTGAACTTCAGGAGGATCTTCGGATTGTTAAAGGAACAATCCAGTCTCTCAAGGGATTGACAATTGTCTGCATCTATGTTCCATAAAGAATCTGAAAATTGGGGGAGTGATACCAGATTCTTGCAGTTGTCGAGTCTAAGTACTCTTAAACGAGACATTTCCTTGACCCATGGAGCAACTTCTTGTATATCTTCGTTCAACTGCAGCTCCGTGATGATGTCAAGAGCATGTGGGAATTCCTTGAGGCTTTCAAAGTATGAGATACTGAAATCATAAAGACGAGACCACGACATGATCGACAAAGGAACTTCTTTTATTGATGTTCCTGTGAGCCACAGAGACTTAATGTTTGTGGAGATCTCAGGAAAACTTTTCAACTGCGAGCAATCTGTGAGATCAAGTAAATCGAGAGATTCTAAGTTGATGTTGGTAGGAAGAGCCTCTAGCTTTGAGCATCCTCTCATTCTCAAATAAGACAATAGCTGAAGGTTTCCTATGGAAGAAGGAAGCTCTACCAGATTTGAGCAATTAGATAGATCCAATTCTTTGAGATTAGTGAGATCTCCAATAGAGGACGGGAGATTCACGAGACTTGAGCATCCGCTGACATACAATCTCTTAAGGTTTGTGGCAGTTCCAATAGAAGGAGGTAGCTCTAGTAGACTTGAGCATCCGCTGACATACAATTTCTTCAGATTTGTGGCAGTTCCAATAGAAGGAGGTAGCTCTAGTAGACTTGAGCAATTACTGAGATTCAATAGCTCAAGTTTAGTTGCATTCTCTATAGAGGGAAGCTCCACAAGATTCGAGCAATTAGAGAGATCTAATTTCTGGAGATTGGTCAAATTCTCAATAGAAGAAGGGATTTTCACCAGCTTTGAGCACTTAGAGAGATTTAGTTCCCGGAGATTGGTTGCATTCCCAATAGAAGAAGGAAGCTTCGTTAAACTCCTACAACTAGTGAGATTTAACTCTTCAAGATTAATTGCGGTCGAAAGATCGGGAAGCTCTTTCAGATCTTTAGAATAAGACAAATCCATCCACTTGAGATTTTTAAGTTGCTGCATTGACACACTAAGAAAATGATGACAGGATTGGTTTATAAAGCTGGAATTTGTTGAACATTATATATTTTTACGGATACAAATTAATGAGATTATAGAAATATAAAAAAATGGTTTTGAAAATTGAATTTCTTAAATCAAAATTACTTACTTTAGTTCCTTTCCATAGCTTCTTAAGCTTGCTAAACCACATACGTAGTTCAACGAGAGACTCCGAATTAAAACTAGATCGAAAACATGTACTTTCGAAAAAACTCCAATCCAATAATCTAATCTTTTGAGAATGATACAAAAGTGAGTGCAGTCTCTCAAACTGAGAAAGACACTCACCCTTGATTCTTATGATTTCGAGATCTGACATTTTTTTAAGTGCTTTCTTACTTATCTTCATTTCCTTCTCAGTCATAGATAAATCCATGCCTATAAACCGTCTATCATCCTGAAAAAAGAGCCAAAACAAGAAAACAATTAGTAGATATATAACATAGTTAGTTATCAAATAAACTCAATTGTAAGGCAAAAAACTTACAGTTGTATCATTACTAAGCACTTCAGAGATATCTCTTTTATCAATCAAAAGCTGATATTTCGAAAACTGATCGTGGACGAATTGCTTACGAGAAGTTTCTCTTCCGAATTGTGCTAGCACATCATGCATATGTATATATCCCCTTATACTGTTAAAAGATATGAAAGATTTCTCAGCTAAGACATGAATACCAGCTTTCGTGACATACAAGAACTTCTTTGAAAGAATCTCTTCCACTTTATGTTGATCTTCATTGTTGAAAAAGCAGGCTATATAAAGAAATAAATATTTATATTCATCATCTAAGGCCTCATAACTGAACTTTAGAATGCTCTCTATTTCTCCATTAAGGCTGGTCTTTAACATTGGTAGTGTCATTTCCCACTCTGCCTTGGGCTTTCCTTTCAAAGTGGAGCCTAGAATCTTCAGTCCCAAAGGGAGTTTACCAGCAAGGTTTGCAACTTCCCTAGCAAGCTCATCGAAGCCATCATCAGGG